GATCAATTTGCAGGTGCTCGACCGGGCCAACTTTGAGCAGCTGCGCCTCAACATCCCAGTCACAGTACAGGTACAGCATGACAACAGCTTGCCAACTCATTTCTCCACGCAGCTCCCGTCTGCAAATCACATCTACATCTGCTTGCCACTCCTACCTCTCTCCCTTCGCAATTGGCAATCGACCGGATACTTTCAAACATCTTACTCCTCCTTCGTCGTTGCACTGGAAGCGAACAGGCTCTCTTCCCTCGAAAGCGCCGCTTGGATCTTTTTCCATCCAGCATTCGTCGCGTTCGACCTTAAAGCCCAACCTTCTCCATCTCCTCGCCAAACTCTCAATAATCGTACGCGGCCTGACCTTGACAACGCTAGCACGATTGTTATTCAAATCATAGCGCCCATCACGACTCTCATCCTGGCGGCGTCGGTATTCCAACCTTCGGCTTACTGCGCTCACCCATTACAAGGCGACAATCGCGTGCCGGTACACGCGACTGCCACCTATCCCGCCGCTCATCGCTCCCACGCGGTAGCACGCCGATCGCATCAGCATCAGGAAGATACCGCGCCGTTGCTGCGTCGGCTCAAACAGGTCTCATTGCGTCTCAGTCGCGTGTGCCTGTAAGTGACACATCAGGTCTGAGACACTGATCAACCTGGGGTATAAAACCCATTACAAGAGATTCTGGTGAGTCTTGTGCAAGTGTTGAGCCCCTTTTCAAGGCCGCGGCGCGTGGTCAAGCTGCATGGACGCTGGTCTTGCGGTCGACGGGACTGGAGTGACAGGTTGGTGAGAGTACGGGACACGCGAAACTTGAAGAATTGAATTTGGCATTCATAGCGGGGAAAGCCTAGATTGAGGGCTGAGTGCAATCTGAGTGACGAATGCCTCAGAGCGTGCCGAGCGGTCGCACGCGCTTCGGACGCGTCGGGGATGGCTCAGCGCAACTGGCTCAGGGACTCCACGCGCTACCTCACGCTGCAAGTCGAATGCCCTTGTGAGGCAAATGGCTTTGCTGTTTACAGGTGACTTCAGTGGTTAAGTGGTGTCTCGTTTAGAGGATTAGCACTGTTTCTCTCTCGTCAAGACCCTGTCGCGAACTTGCTTTCGGTTGCGCGGAATCGTTTGCGCGCATATCGCCGCACTGCTCTTCGATGACGGGTCGGGGCAGCCTTTCAGATGAGCGGACACAGCTTTGCAAAGGTCCTCGTGGCCATCATCGAGGTCTGCAAATTCACCAAGTCTGGCTTACGGTCTGCTCCCGCTGTAGGCTGTGCCGTCAGATGGTAGTAGTTTCGTCCGCCCACACTTCATGCGCAGACTGCCGCTCGTGCCAGAATTGGCCCACTCGCTCGATCTTCGGGTGCTCTTTCGGCATCGTCGACTCGTTGTGATCACTGGGCCATGCACTTCTCACATGGACCAGGTGCACAGTGCCCGTAGACCGTTCGAACATTTGTCTTCTGTAATTGTTCATTTCGCGCTGCTCGTCCACATTCCAAACAAAGTCTGACACTTCTTTGCTTCGCACGTCGCAGCCCAGCACAGCACACGAGAGTTCATCATTTGTTACCTGACTACTCGCACAACGCGCGCGCAGATACACACTCGTGTCCAGGTCTAAGCTTGGACGGTCTGCTGTCGATGGACTGTTGATCGGTGACGCTGGGTCAGACGCCATCAATCTACCGAGCACGTCCACCGCTTCAAAGCAACACAATTCTTGGCGCTGGCACGCAAGCATCCTCGGCCATGGCTGTACTAGCAGCACAACGACAACAAGATCATCTTGCCTCTCCTCCTGAGGCTCGGGCCAGTGACTACACGTCGTCACCAATTGCGCCCAAGCGAGTCGCCTCGCGAGGTCGGCACGCGCTTGCTTCTGCCTTCGAGGAAGCTAAACAGTCATTTGGTGCTGCGTCGTCGACGTCACCCCACACAACCATCATGGAGCGACGTGGCCGTAGCAACAGTAACAGCGCCTTTGCTGCCGCCAGATCTGTCTTCGAGCGACCCGCAGTGCCCATGAGGAACAGCTCCTCAGATCCAGACCTCGAGGCTGCCTCTTCCCCGAATGCTGACGCTTCAAGCGATCCCGAAGATGAGTCGAGGGAAGAGTACGTGGTCGCATTACATGACTTTGCGTCGAGTAACGCCACGTGTCTGTCCTTCGCTGCTGGACAAGTCATCAAGGTGTTCAATAGAGACACTTCGGGGTGGTGGGACGGCGAGCTTGACGGCCAACGAGGATGGTTTCCCAGCAACTATGTGGACGAGGAAGGGATCGGGTTCGGAAGTCCAGAAGCAAGCGATATGCGCCTGGAGCTTGCTGGAGATGGTGAGCGTGACACATCGCAACCATACAATGGTCGTGGTCTCGGCCTGTCGGTGCAAACACAGCAAGTCAATAAGCAGCGCCCTGGTGTGGTGTCGGCAGGCATGCCCCATCACCCTTCGAGGTCACCCACACCCACCGCTCAAGAATTCCTTGCTTCAAGCGCTAGCTCTGGTATCCTTGAGCCTATACTACACGCGATCGCTCTATTGCACAACGCAGTGCGCGCCAACAGGGTTGCGCACTTTCAGCCTTCGACGGCATGCGTCATCTCGTCTGTGCGCTCCGTGCTCTCCGCCACGGACTGCTTGACGCGAGAGTCGCACGTCCTGAAGTCCCATCCTATTTTGGCAAGGGAGCGCAAACACATCCTCTCCGAGCTGAGCAAGCTCGTCACTCAGGCACGGAAAGCCTCGGCTCCTATGCCGCGGGAAGAGGGTCGCGCGCAAGAGATGGATGACATGCTGAGCATGGCGGATGCGGTGCTGCGCCATGTGCGAAGCTTTTTGGAGGTTGCCGTCGAATGCGGCGTCAACGTGCCTGACAGGCGCTCGTCGGTAGTCGGAGATCGCAATCGTGTGTCAGCTGACGCTCCACATGCCGGCGAGCAGAGATCCATGTTGGGTGTTGACCGTGGAGAAGCGGACAAGACGCCCACCCCAGAGTCTCCCAGAAGCTCGGCGTACCAGACGGCCTACACCTCGGGGCAGATGTCTCCTCGCAGCACGCGGTTTCTGGATCTGCGCGACCGTGCTGAATATCCATTCGACGACGCCGCAGCTGCCGTTATGGTGGCCAAGCATACAGGCAGCGAGCCTATGACACAAGCTGCGCGCATCAAGGCGCAAGCTCAAGCGCGCCGTCGGTCTGACTCCTTGACCTCCGAACCTCAAGAACATAGTTCAGGCTCTGGCTCGGCATCGGACTCTGGTTCAGGCTCTAAGCCGACGTCGCGGTCAGGATCCACTGATTCTTTGAGCGATGCTCCGCCTCCATCGAGCGTCATCTGCTCCGCATCCGAGGTTTTACAACGCCTTGGAGTAGCCAACGACCATTTACTCTCAATCACAGCTGCCTTCATCGGCCACGTGCACAGCCACACACGGGACAGCCACGCGTCAAGCTTCGCTCACCTCATTGATATGACACGAGAAGCAGTTGATGCAGTTCGTGATCTGTTGATAGTTGTGGAGGCGGTCCACAACAGCGGCGAGCTGCAGTCTACGCTGCCGCGACAAACTACGATTCTGTTCCAAACCAGAGAAAGGCTATACGAGGCGACGACAGCACTCGTATCGGCCGCGAGGGTAATCACTTCGAATCCCTCTGCCCAAGCAGCAGCTTCTGCTGCCCTTTCTGATGCGAACGAGGACGAGGAGAAATCGCGACTGTTGTCAGCAGCCACCGCTGTTCTCAGGACGGGTGGCGAATGCGTCGGTGCAGTGCGTTTATGTCTGAACCACGCAGACTCCGCATTGCGCTTCACACTGCCAGGGGATGGCAGGTCGACACAACGGCACGGATCAGGGGACTCGAGCATGTCTGCTGACTCGGCAGAGCCCTTGACTCCTGATGAAGCTGCTGGGGAAGACGCTCTGTTGGCCGCTGGTACTGTGCGCAGAGGCAAGCACACTCTATCGTTCCTGGGTCGCAAGGCGACCAGCCTGAGCTGCCTTCGTGAGAAATACGAACAGAGTGGCTACGTTCGAGGCTTTGGACACATAGCTGAGGGTCACTCAGACGATGATGATGACTTTGCAGAAAGCGAAGAAAACGCTACCGCGAGGCAGCAGTATCATGCCCCTCAACGAGAAGTTCGAGGAGAAGCCGATGCGTCGCCGCAGTCGACGGTGATGCCAGACTCGGACCTACCTAGGTCGTCCTTGTCAGAACGACGAGGAGCGCCAGCTCTGCAGCAACTCGGCCCAGGAATGCGTCGCCCTATGCACGCTCCACAGGTAGTAGCCACGCCAGCTCTCACACAGTACGTGCCAAGTAGTCACCCGCAGATTTCGTCTGCGAACCATGGCACCGACCCACAAGGAGGAGATGGCAGCGACCACAGCGAAACGATGTCTAGGCAGCATTCCAGAGCCTCCGGTTCCACCTTGTACTCGGCCAGATCAGACACTACTGGAGCAACATCAGCTCGTCCCTCCATGGATCAAAATAACGGCGCAGATGAGCACGCGAATGTCCCACTCACAGCACCCGTCGGCGGCACGTTCCGGGAGGCTCACAACAAGCATCTCGCAGGTGTGACTGACTCCCGACGTGGTAGCGATTCCTCCGAGGTGCTGCATCTTCAGCCCACCCGCAGTCGTGGTGAGAGCTTGAGCGAGCCCTCCCCTCTTGGCTTGTCGCCTTTGACGCCGAGCGTCATGTCGACTTTTGAGGCAGCGTCTCCCATCCAACTGAAGTTCATGTCGCCAGACTATCTTCCCAGCGACGTCTGCTACAACTCAGAAGGGCAACTGACCGGCGCAACCCTGCCCGCGTTGGTGGAGAAGATGACTCCACACGACACCACCGTTGACGCAGCACTCTCGAATGCCTTCTTTTTGTGCTTCCGTCTCTTCACGACGCCGATGCAGCTGTTCGACGTGTTGGAAGCTCGTTACAACATGCGCCCGCCTCAGGAGGTGGAAGTCAGTGCCGAAGAGCTCGTCAAGTGGACCGATCAGAAGGTCATGCCAGTTCGCCTGCGAATCTTCAACTTCTTCAAGACTTGGCTCGAGACGTATTGGCATTCTGCCACGGATCATGTGATTCTCGAACGCCTCGTCGAATTCACACGCACCTCGATGGCCCACTCTTTGCACCGACCAGGTCAGCGTCTGGCTGACCTGGCACAAAAACGCATCATCTCTGGTCCAACAAAGAAGGTGATGGCCCAAGTCTCTGGCACCGCCACCGCCGCAGGAGTGAGCAACGCCAACGGCATCGCGCCAACTGTCGCTTCGAAACCAGGCGCTTTGAAACGCATGATTTCCACGGACCGACTGCGAAATGGCAGTCTGCCCCCGGGCATGGTCGAACCGTCGAACATGTACGGTTCGGCTGCCTTCACGAACAAGAAGGGACCGATGCCCCCGCAACCGATCATGTCAAAGGCGCTCTTATCTGCTCTTCGAGCCTCGCCTCAGCCGCCAATCAGCATTACGGAGTTTGATCCAACGGAGCTCGCCAGACAATTGACGATTCTTGAATCCAAGATCTACTGCGCCATTCTTCCGGAAGAGCTTCTCGGTCAAGAGTTCAGCAAAGCGGCTGGGGTGAGCAGTGCCATCCACGTGAAGAACATGAGCTCTTTGAGCACGTCAATTACAGGGTGGATCTCCGAGTGTATTCTGAACGAGGGAGATGCGCGCAAACGGACTCAGTTGGTCAAATTCTTCATCAAGCTCGGCGATGTGAGTGGCGACGGTGTAGCGTGTCGAGCGAAGCGCCGAAACTAACTCTATTTTGTCTATCCCATCAACAGCGTTGTCTCGCATTGAGTAACTTCAACACCCTTATGGCAATCCAGTGCGCCCTCAACTCTTCGACCATTGCTCGACTGAAGCGCACGTGGGATGGCTTGACTGCCAAATACCGTGTCATGATGGAAGAGCAACGCCGCACTGTTGAGCACACTCGCAATTTTGCGGGCTATCGCGCACGTCTACGAGCAACGGCCGCACCAGCGCTGCCTTTTGTCGGTCTTTTCCTTACCGACTTGACTTTCTGTCATGAAGGCAACCCTGCAACGCGACCGTCACCACAAGATCCGCAAAAGCGGTTGCTCAATTTCGACAAGTACGTCAAGATGAGCCGCATCATCGGAGACCTGCAAAGGTTCCAGTTGCCTTACACCCTCCTCGAGGTGCAAGAATGCCAGTCCTATCTCAATAAGGTTCTGGCTAGCGTCCAACAGGCTGGCGCAGGTGGAGCGGAAGACCTGTACCGACGCAGTCTACTGTTGGAACCGCGCTCCAAGACCGGCGAGCCTTCTCCTGCCACCGTTGCTAGTAGAAGCGGTGGCAGTGGTGCCGACGGGGGCAAATTGGGCTTGGACATCTTCAACTGGAAGTGATCTGGCTGCGGGACTGAGCCTCCCCACGGCGATTCTGCACGATTTGAGAGCAGCGGAATCGGTGCGCCATCTAACCACACCCATCTATACTCACATTTGTTGCGTCTCAACTCAACGTTCATATGTGCATATCTCAACTTACTTTGTCACCCACGGTCTCCTTCCTTTGGTCTCCAAATGTCATCCTAGCTTCTAGTGGCCGACTGGGCTACTCGTGTACTTCATACAGCGTCGGCTCTAGGACATCGATCCAATGAATTTGATTTAGCTCTGCTCGCTGATAGATGAGCCGGAGTTAGACGATCATTGACCTGATGGCACATCAATCTAACGATCTAGAGGCAAGCGCTTTATCGACATAGCGCGGAGGTGCGGCCTCGTAGTCGGGCAAGACGGGACCATGCTCTTGCTCCAACTTTGCTTGCTCTTGGCTCGACAGCTTGAGATGCTCGAGCACTGCACGCTGTCAGGCCAAGGCAAGAGAAGGAAAGAAGGAAGACTCAGCACGCCACCGAGACTAATAGCACACGTCTGGCCAGTCCTACTCTGCAAGTGGCACATCGAGGCCGAGAGCCTTGTTCGTGGCGCATCCATACAAGCGCACCCGACTCACCTCTTCGTTCTTGCTGAGTCGCCTATCAGGATCGTTTGGATCTATGGCCCTGCCCATCTTGTCGCGTTGCAAGGCATGGTAATCCAGACCGGCCTTTTTCGCCTTTCTCTGTCGCAGAGCTCGAGAGGAGGAAGTGACGAGCAAGGTGCCGACAAGACCAATGGCAAAGACTACTGCGGCGGCCATACCGAGATGAAAGGGGGCGATTGGGTTGCTGAAATGTAGTCAGATATTGGACTGCCTGGAGTGATGATGGTTGAGCATGTGTTTCCAGTCACGAAGTCTTGATCATGAATGCTTCATTGGTGCTTGTGCATGATGGCATATGATACGCAGCGACCTGCGAAATCAAAACGGCAATTAAGCTTTGCCTTGACCGCGAGCTGTCGCGCAGGCAGCCGAGCTGCAGCTAATCAATCTCCAATGATGACAGTGAACCGCCGCGGCGGCCCGGATCGCGCCTGGCGAAAGTCGCCGCGGACCTCCACTCGCCGACGCTTGGTCAGCTATGGCGATCTCTCGTACAGTCAAGGGCAACAGCTCTGGCAGGGCAGAACTTCACGTGCTCGCGGGCACACGCTTCTTTCACATCCCTTTTGCAAAGCCAATCACAAATTCCCGTCTGCGATTGCAAATCCTCTGGTTCATGACACCATCACGCGATCTCACAATGGGCTGCTGTGCTTGCGCTCGCTGTCATCAGCTCCCTCCCGTCCCTCAGACAAGGAGTGTCCTGCCCTGATCCTCGCGGTCGCGTGGCCGCAGAGATCGCGACGATTACGTGTGACCTATGAGCATAAATTCGAGAGTGTCGCACTGCTCGCGAAGGCCAATCGACATAAGGGTATATATTGACAAAGGGGAATGCAAGCATATAGACATGAGCGCCACGACGAGGCTGCGGCTGTCCAAGAGTAGACGTGGGACAACCTCACTTTCGCAGGCCCTCTCTTAGCGTCGCGCTTCGCACGAGGCTGCGCAGAAAGGCCAGCCTCTCTTCATATCTCCTCCTCACATCTTCTCTGCGCCTTCCAATATCCACAATCTCGTTTCGAAGTGCGCGCACGCTCACTTCCTCTTCTGGATCATCGCCCATATCGGCGTCGAGATCGTCAGCGAGCTGAGCGTGATCACCATTCGATCCATTGCCACGCAGCTGAGCAGCATGCCGGAAAGCAGATGGGGGGTAGCTGGGAGACAATCCGTGAGCAGATTCTCGATCTCCCTGACTGCTGTCGCCCAACCCTCGACGTCTGCCTCTTGCAGGAGACTTGCTTCCAGAGCTGGACGTTGATGATTTGCGAAGCAATGAGTGGTTCCAAGCGCCTTGTTGACTCTTGTCGCCGCTCCCGTAAGAGCTTTCCGGGCTCAGAGCACGCGAAGCGGAATTCTGCGCCCTTTGCAGCTGTTCATGTCCCAGTCCAGATCGTCCGACGGCCGTCTGGACCAATCCGTTGAAGGCTTCCAGCAGCTTCTTTTGCTCCGCTTCGACTACTGCCATCTCGGCCTTGAGCTCATTAGCGCCCTTCTCTGCGTAGTCCCCAGTAAGCATGCCGGATGCGCTGGCGACTGAGCCGGACCCCGCTCCAGTGATAGAGTGCTTCGCGCTCATGCCGTCGCCGTTTGCTCCTCCCAAGGTGCGCGCTGAGCGAGCCTTGTGGACCTCCGATTCGAGCTCCGCTTCCGAAGGTGCTCTGCGGGTCTTGCTGTCCGATCTAGATAGGCCAGCAACCGAGACTGCAGCAGTCCAAATGCTTCGAGGTTTAGAGAGCGAAGGACTTTGCGCGTTCATGCTATCTCCAGAATTATCAACGTTCATGCTTTCTCCATGGGATGGATGCAGGTTGCGCAGAGAACCTTTTCGAAACAGCGCTGCAAAGTTGGCAATTGACGAGCGTTGAGACCGCAAGGACGGTGCTGCGGTCGCTGCGCGCTTGTCCATAGAGGCCAAGTTGGACGTCTCTGCGGGAGACGAGAATGAGCAGTTGCATTCCTCAACATCTGACTGCCTTCGATGTCCAAGCTTACCTGCAGTGGCCGGACGCTTTTGCAGTTGACCTCCGAAGCTACCCAATCTCGCCTCTCGCGGCACCTCTTGGTTGCCAACACCGCTCTCCGAAAAGGCTGCAGCGCGTAGCTTGCGGTATTCTTCCTCTCCTAGCAGTCCATCTCCGTGCGCAATAGCGAGTTCGTTAAGCTGCTGCGCGAGCCTTGCAGTGGTATCGATGGGCTCAGACTGGCCAGATAATGCGCTCGAAGGAAGCGGGCTGATCATCGATGACGTGGCGGTGCGAAAGCTGCCCGGACTGAGTGGAGAGCGGATGCTGGCCATGTGAGAACTAGACCGCGCATGAAGTTTCTGTGAAGGAGACGGTTCTGCACTTCCATACGAGCCAATGGATCGTTGTCGTGAAGGTGATCGAGGAGACATGGAACTTTCGACAGGAGAGTGGGGTAGAGAGACTGATGCCGAAGGACGATGCGGAGGTGCTAGACCATTCCCGCCCAACGGGCCGTCTGCAAAAATTTGGGTCAAGGGAGGTGGTGGAGCTCGACGGCCGGTGTTTGCGCGCGCTGCAGTGTGAGTGTGAGTGCTACTCGAGGCACTGGATGAGCTGCTCGTCTTGGCCATATCAATGTGCGGCGGCGCGTATTGGTCCCATGGTCGGACTAGGCCACTCGTGGCCATACCGCGGCTCAGTCGTGGGTCCGGTGAGAGTATGGGTGAGTGGGGCGCAGAGGTATCGTTTCGCGAGGGGATGACAGAAGCCTTTGGAACTTTGTCGGAATCCGACATTACTTTCCCCATCACCACAATTGGCTCTCGATCCACAGATCGCCGTGTAGACCCTCGCCACGTCCGAGCCTCCTCGGCCAAAGCACGATCCGTACGCCATTGGGCTTCGGAAAGAGTGTCATCTAGTGGCTCTTTGGACTGGGCACCTGCGTGCAGTCGTGAGAGAGCGTGATGGGTCAGTGTGCTGGCAGATCGCAATTCTGGCACCTCATTGCACGAGCCGGGGTACGAATCCTCGGTACTCACCCTCCGCACCACCTTTGCCCATACCCGCGTCAGTATTCTTTCTGCCAAAGAGATCCATCCGTCTCCTCGTCTTTTCTCTTTTGCTTCCCAGTCCTAGCACCTTTGCCTTCCTAGTCTCACCCAACACCTGGGAGTTCGAGGCAGGACGCGCAGGGGGCGGCATGCCTCCGATGTGCGCTCCGCTAGACAAGCCATCGAAGCTGGATCTCAGACGACTGGATGCGAGGGATGCCCCATTCGAGTCCCTGGACGAGCCGATTCCCCGGGCTGCTATCGCTTGAGCATACGACAAGTCTTCTGGTTCGGCGTAGCCGCCTATGCGACCGCCGGCGACGTCGTGTCGCTGCTCAGAAGGACGACGAAAGAGGGCGCGCATGTTGTACCAGCTGTTACAGCACAGACCTGGTTGGTGGCTGCAGGTGTAAGAGCTGTGCCGGGAGAGGAGCGGTCCACGCTGTGTTCAAGGCTGATTTGCGATTTCCTAGTCGCGCTGACCCCTTAAGGCATTGGGAGAGGGGCGATCTGCACTTCGGGACGTGTCGCACTTATGATGGCAGAGAACGTGGTCCGGGAGTCATCATTGAAAGGCAGTGAGGCGAGATGGAGAGCAGCGAGGTCAGGAAGAAGAGCAGTACAGTAACTCCTCGAATGGGCCGTCGCGCTGATGTTGGGAGGAAGGGCTGAGCTCGGACGTCGAGGTTCACGAGCTTCGTGAATCACAATGTTGAGTGTACAATGCACAACTCAAGAGGTAAGATTGCTGGACTGTGAAATACGTTCGCGATCCCTGGCTTACCAGGTCAATCGCGAATAAGTAGATACACGCCGACGGCGGGTCAATTGCCATTTTGATTGCCATTTACTGATTCTGCTTCGTGATTCACACTCGCGACTCGGTCAAGCGTCGAGCATTAGGTACCGTACATTCAAAATACAGCGCTGCAATACGCAACGCAAGTTGACAGTCCAAGCGCGCTCGAGCCCTTCCCCACCCCGCGTCGTGCTGCAATTACAGCCACGCCTTATTCCGTGACGTGGGCGAACCTGCAGCCACTTCAGCGACTCCGGACTCGTGATTGCTGATGCGTCGTGGGCAGCGTGACTGACTGCTCACACTCCTAGCTATGCGCCCCGCACACCTACTGTATGCAGTCAAAACAGACCGCAAAGCTTGAATGCGCAACGTACAGCTCGCGGAGGCATTGCACACAAAACAAATAGAACTACGCTAAAACACGAATTGCGGGTCCTGGCCCCTCAATGACTCATCAGAATCAAAGTCGTGATTGTAACGCATTCACGATTCCACAAATCGCTCACCGTCACACTCAAGAAATGCCAATTATTGATCGCAGTCCAACAAGTTGGGTGTGTTTAATACTTCACAGCATGGATCCTTGACATCAATTGACGAGGCGAGCACGCAGCGCATGGATGGATGGCTTCAAATTATCCTCCCTATCCAAACCACGTACCATTAATAACCCACGCACGCCGCTTATTCGTCCTTCTACCTCCGACCTTCATTTACAGTCTCATCAGTAGTACAGGTGTCAAATCACAAGTTCATTCATCAAGTCACCAATCCAAGCCTTTGACCAGTGCCCAGCCTGAGGCGCAATAAGGGACGAATCATGAATGTGCGGATGCAGGTCCGACGTATGAAAACGTCGCGGGCGGTCAAGAGTCCGGCGGCGCGCCGTGGG